TCTCTCTCTCTCTCTCTCTCTCTCTCTCTCTCTCTCTTTCTCTCTCTCTCTCTTTCTCTCTTTTCCTCGGTACGATTTCTCCGATGATTTGGCGACCGCTAGACGCGCGCCACTCGTCCAATTCAATTACACACACCGAGCGGAAATAGAAAGCCGACGTCGCGTTTACCTTCAATAAATGATCGCCGCAACGAAAACAGGGATTCGCTTTGAAGCGGTTATATTCGCGTATTTGTGACATTTGGCTTCGGTCAGAGATCATAGATCGAGCAAACGCGCGTTCACGCCGACATCGTCATCGTCGTCGTCGTGGTAGTCGGCGAAAGATCCCGCTCGAATTATCCCGCCTGTGGCGAGTCTTAATTCGTTCATCCATTATTTTGCGGCGGATTTGCACGATTCCGATGAACAGAGGATCGATTGGTTTCACGGTAACGCTTCATCGGTTACCGATATCGCACCTCCGTGAACCTCCGCCATCAACATCGCGCAAATTTTCGCCAACCCCTTCGCGCGTCCGCTCCGCCGGCGAGGCGACATCATCCCGTCAGGATGCGTTCCGCTCGCGGCGAAACATCGTCGCTAACCAGCAGCAGCACCACCACTACTACCACTACCACCACCATCACCACCATCACCACCACCACCACCGACCCGCTGCGAACCATCGGCTCGCCCATCGTTTCACAGCCGATGGATCGTCGATAGATATTTTAGCCCGTAGTATATAACGGTATCCACCTATAACATACTCGCGCCGAGGTTCTCCGTCGGGGAGAACAGGAACAGAGTGGAAGAGGCAGAGCTGCCGAGAGAGCCGAGAGAGAGAGAGAGAGAGAGAGAGAGAGAGTCGGGAGAGCGAGCAAGCGAGCGAACGCAAGGGGGTGGGGATCGATCGAATCGCCATTACGGCGAGTGAGTGCCGGGGGTGCACGATGGAATCACGCCGCCGCTGGGGGTTTATTCCCCGTATATATTTGCCGGAGTATCACCCTCGACCCAGTAGGATGCCGCCCCCTATCCCAGTGGGGTTCGATGCTCGGCGAGGCAGGGAGATAGATAGAGAAAGAGAGGAAGGCAGGCACGAATCTAGGAAAGCCGAGGGCTCGCACCGAGCACTTCGGACTTGCCAAAATCTGCGGGGAATTCGCACCCTCGACACGATACCACTTCTCGAGTGGAGTGGCTCGTTTCGACAAATATGGAACAATAGTTACCTTCTGGCGGGCAAGCGGTAAACGTTGCTTAACGGCGGTTACTCGATCGTTAATAATGTGCTCGTTCGGTGGTTATTTAGCGGGCCTAGTGGCGATTAGCCGTGCCGCGACTTTTGCAATTCTTCTAATCAGAGGGAGCGCGTGCACATCGGGTAATCAGAGACGCGTCGTCGAGCGGTTCTTTCGTACGGGAAATAAGAGACGCGAACGCTGCGTAAGGGCTCCTCGCTAAACTCTTCGCGGCTCAGTTCGCCTCATGTCGCACTTCCTGTTTACAGGCGGCTGTTAAGTCGCGCGTAACGAAATTCCCGTGGAATTTCTCAGGGCCAGTCTCATTGTGGGCCGTCGTGTTGTCTTTTTCAGGTACGGCGCCGGCTACGACCTGGCGGCGCGGCGGAAGAATGCCACGAGGGAGTCGACGGCAACCTTGAAGGCTTGGCTGAATGAGCACAAGAAGAACCCGTACCCGACGAAAGGCGAGAAGATTATGCTGGCTATCATCACGAAGATGACGCTGACGCAAGTCTCCACTTGGTTCGCGAACGCGCGGAGACGCCTCAAGAAGGAAAACAAAATGACCTGGGAGCCGAAGAACAAGACGGACGACGACGACGACGCGGTGCTCACCGACTCCGAGGATAATAAGGAGAAGGACGATCTCGCGACGGACAATAGAGGCGACAGAGTCGGCGAAGAGGCGAGACGGAGCCTCGACGATACTGGTGAGCTTTTTTCCGCCTTTCCTCTCCTCCCCCGCGCGACGTACGCACACATTTCCGCACCCCCCACATCGAGATGGGATTTATGATTCGACGTGATGCTGCCGTCGGATACCGCGAACCGTGTACGGATACGTAGCGTATTATCTCCGCGCTATCTGCGTGAGTGATTTAAGAAATTGCAGGCGAGCGGCGCGACGTTAGCACGCGAAATCGCAGTCTCGCGTTCGCGCCGCTAACGAGACTACAAAACTACGAGAGCGGGTTGAATGAGAGGCGTGCCCGCTAACATTGCAACGTCGAGTTGCGAGACGGGTTATAACGATATTCGAGGCGGCCTTCGTCTCGAGGATGGTCTTGAGAAAAACCGCGACGCGACGCGCGATAACTGGCCGCCGATCTGTTATCGGGAAATTTCTATCATCAGCGATTCCCGGTATCGCAAGAAGGGTATCGTCCGAGTCGGCACCGGAATCGTTTCGCCAAGGTAGGTCCGACCTCTTCGACTCGGAATGTCGATGGCGTGTTTACCTCGCGTGACTAGTTTCCACGATATCGAATGCCCATATCGACCGGCGTTTCTCGTATTGCACGAGCATGCATTTCGCTCGCAATGAGAAGTGAACTTACAACTTCACTCGACGTGGCTCGCGGTCGGTCTGGGTTTCCGGATGGCTCTGCTCCCACACGTAGTACGCAGACGTTCCACAAATGCTGGGATTTTACTGGGTCCACTTCAATTTTTTTGCAAATTGTAGATCCTAATTGAGGAATATACGCGGAATTGAAGATTGGAAGAGTGATGTTTTAAACACGCGATACTGAATGGGAGAACTCAAGCAAATATCTGATCCGCCAGACATATTCTCAAGGATCTCTTCCAGTTTCCATTCTATGTTAAAGTTGAATATGAAACACACTTTGAGCGCGTATACTTTATAATAATAAATATTCAAGAGACGTAAATACTTGAAACGTTTTAATTTTTCTTTGTTATTGAATTTTATTGAACTCAATGGTTAAAAAGTATAAAAAGGGGATTTTCTCCCCTATATGACTTCAAAAAGGTATACCGATGTTGCCTACTACAAAAGAAGTGCGAATTTTCATAATAATTCTTTGTCGATTGTAGACCGAAAATCTATGTTTGCGGTAAGAATAGGGATCCCAATTGGTGACACAGTGGGCGACCTATTTCGGGACAAATTTGGACATTCTCACTTGGATCTATGCCGCTTCTGGGAAAATCTTAAGAAATTTCTATGCGGGTCTATCTCTCGATCGATTGCGGGGCTTTTAGCCGGTCGTCCGTGTTACCTGCAGTCTCGAGAGCTTCCGCGGGACCCCGAGTCGACCGCGAATTTTACGACCCAGCGAGATCCCACAATGCGGGACACGCTGCGGCGTTCTCGATTCGCCGTGGGCGAATGCGCTACGCGCGAGTTCATTAAGGATACGGGAATTCCGCGCCGGGCTCGGAGATTTTGCGGTTCAGCACGGTTTCTTCGCGCGCCGGCCGGAAATGGCGAGTTAGGAATTCGCGGCGAACCGGCTCCGGGTTCTATATCGCGGAGGCGGACATAATGGTTCACATGTGGGTAAACACAGTGACGGGTTGCGGGTTGCCGCGCGAAGAGATTAATGGCCTTCGGTTTGGTCCCCCGGTGGACCGGGCCACGCCGTTGGTATTGGTACCCCGGGCTGGAACGGGCTGCCCGTGAGAGCTCGGCAAGCGTGTAGGTGTGTACACGCTCTCGCGCATCTGAGAGAGTGAGAGAGAGTGAAAGAGAGAGAGAGAGAAGCGCGTAATTGTATGCGTGTTGGGAGAGCGAGAGGGAGAGGGTGCGCCCGGGTTGAGTAGCCATCCGTAGACAGGAGAGAGAAAACCAGATACACTTCGTGCCACGAGGTCTATATGTATATATACACATAGAAATATATACACACATATACATGTATCAATGTATGTATATGTACACGTATGTATACATAAATATACGTATATACGCGCATATATATATATATATATATATGTATGTATATATACACATGTAGTATACGCTGGGAGTGTATATAGATGCACACGGGAGAACGCTGATTCGAGGTACGGTGATGTATCGGCGCCCGCGGCGAGACGAATGGTACGGACCCTCCTATGGCCACCATTACCCCACCGCACATTGGCCAATATCGGCTTCTCTCTTCCTCTCGCACTCTCTATTTCTCTTGCTCTTCCACCCCGCCGTGCCGTACACCTTCCCGTTTCACTCACTCGTCGTCCTGGTCTCTGCCGATTCGAGATATCTAGGTCCTGTCCGCGCTACGTCACGCGTTCTGCAATGGCTCGTAATTTCGAAAAGACCGACGACGAATGTCGGTGCTGATGGTGTTGGTGGTGGTGTTGGCGGTGATGGGTGCGCGCCGGCTGGGAAAGGCTGCGACGGGACGAGAGAGAGAGAGAGAGAACTCGAGGGTAATTGATTCGCCGCGTCGTCGCTTTTCTCGCGCGCAAAAGAGGCGCCTGTCGGTAGTCCTACTTGGGAAATTTCGTCGTTCCGCCATTTCCCATGGCACTAAAGATAGCGGGAAAAGTGCATGGGCATACTTTGTCATATGTACGTGTGCGTGATGAGCGGTGGATACGCACATACACTTGTGCCTCTGCTCTCGCCGTGCCGGTGACCCTTGGAAATTCAAGGGGGAACTTTCGGCGCTCATGAATTTCTACGCCGAGCCTGAGAAACATAGGTCGCCGGAACTGTCAGTTATCTATATGCGCGCGGATTGAAATATTCGTATTCATATAGGATATATATATATATATATATATATATATATATATATATATATATATATATATATATATATATATATATATATATATATA